AAATTAACTCACCCACATAGTTTCACAAAACTATTTTTGTAAAACTGTTGTAAAAATGTTGTAAAATAAAAATTAAATTTAATAAGTAGTTCAAAATTGCGTAAACGGATACCTCCCTATCTCTTTTATAGGTCAAATTTGAAATTTCCCTTGACGCACAAGCACCTTAGAGCTATTTTTTCAGTCGAATTTTGCGGAGTGAATTTTCATTGGTAGCCTCTTAGTGACTTTAATAGATTTTAAAAGCGGATTTTCTGTGGCGAACCTAATTAAGCGCGAATACTTATTGTGACAGAAATAGTCACACTTAACGTCAAACTATTCCTCGCATTAGAACGAAATCTACACCCCAATTGGATAGATAATGCCATAAATTTGCGCGCGCTTTAACGTTCCATAATCCAAATCATAAAACATTTAATTACGTTCAAAAGTGCAGAAATCAATATGATTACAGCAGTGGGTCGTATATTTAACAGTTCGTTAGAATTACTTTATTTCCTTCCGCCGCAACTCCATTTAAATTCCCGAATTCGAGGTGAATTCCTTTCGCGCAGTTTTCGCTCACGGTCCTTTAAATAAATATTTCCATCTTCAAGAACACAGCGGCAGCCATATTTGAGCTGAAAGAAATCGGCTATATGCTCAATGACGTCGTTTATTACCAGTTATTAAAAAACGTGGCGAGTGGAGCGAACCTTTTTTCCAGTTGTGCTTTAGACCTAAAATCGTTTAAAATCAGCTTACTCGACCCTCTTGGGTAATCAAATATATTTCGCGTTTCTGACATTTTCCACATAGTTTTCAAAATTGTATTTCGTTTATCAGCTGAAGTGATAATCCAGTTGCCGTCGCCTGTCCTTTAAGAGCTTTTCCGTTTCATGTCTACGGTTTAAATTGGAGTTTTCGAGTAATTTCGAGAAAAAGTAAGGCGGCAGGATAAGAATTCAAGCTGTAACTAAAGTAAATTAAGGGACGAATCGGTAAGTTTTAAGGGTTGTGATGACTTGTAGAATTACAAATGAGTTTATCGGTGGGTAGTGAAGTGGACCGAGACAGATCTAGAAATTCTCGTTCGGAATACTGATGTAATCAGGTGTAAATTTTCGGACCTTCCCCTAAGTACCTGTTAATCTAAAGGACGTGCCGAGAAATAATGGTTTATGCGAAAATAGATGGGGTCTGCTTGATGTTTTCAAATTTAGTTCGTATTTCGTTTATTCTTGTGATTTCCCCAAATACCTACATCGAAAATCCAACCGAGAAGTATTAACTAATTCCTCCCAACTTATCTTACGAATTTATTTATATCCAATAAAAAGCAATGCAAAAAATACATACAAAAACGTAGGCCTATTGATGATAATAATAATAATAGCTATTTTGAATCGTTAACGATCTTAAATATAGGAGGGTTCGTTTGTACTTTTTTTTGCAGAGATTTGAGCTTTCTGTTCTTCCAGGTTAATTGTAAAATTAGATCTGGAAGTTTCCACGCTTAATTTAGCAACAAAAATAATTACCTATACACCATTCCACTACGGGTACTCAACACGTCGTTTTCTATTTAATGTACTTTAATCATTTAATAAAATTGAAGGCCATAGCCATAGCCGTAGCTGTTCATGCCAATATATGACTTTGGTGGCTTGGATTTGTAAGTTCTAATCCAAAGTTTTTTATATAAACAAAATTGAGCCTTATAGAAGAGTATATCGACCAATGATTTAAAAAAAGGGGTTTTATCTCTTGAACATAAATTTTTCTGAACATGGCATTCGTATTGGTGCTCAGGAGGGTCATACGGATTATTTCTATTAACTTATAGATGCAGATACCTATAAACTTACACATTTATCTGAGAATTCTGGGAATTTACAAACAAAAATTAACGTAGAGGTTGTCCAACGACGAACTAGTCGAGTGCTATACCTTGATGGGGTTTAACACATTTCAAATCTTATGGTATTTTAATAGAAGAGGGCAGTATGAGTGTAAAGAACTGTATTACAAGTGTAACACAAACAGGAAGCTTGTATGCAGTCTATTACACTTCCACTAGTGGACATATGCTGTCAGGAAGTCACGATCAAGAACCATGTGCAAAAAAAATTTTTTTCGCCTCAAAATATGTGAAATAATTTCAAATGGAAGCGTTCTCATTTTTATGACTATATATCTCAAATGGTTTGAGCGTAAGAGCTTTGGATCCATCTTTAACAGCGATCCTGTATATTCAGTTTTATACGACTTCTGATAATGATACCATACCTAATCAATAATCTTAACAGCCGATTCAAAAATGAAGGTGCCAGAAGTTTTGGTTTTAAGAATGACACTGCTAAATAAAGGCAGTTTTTTTCTAAATTCATTATATTTAAAAAGAATAGTAGAAAGGAGCTAAAACTGTGAACTACTGAATGGGTTTGCATTAAAAGAACTATCACAAAACGAATGAAGTCCATGGAAAAAAGCAAATTGTTATATATATCCGAGATTTTTTCTATGTATTGAATATTGCATTACAATACAACATGTGATGAGCCAACACAAAAAGCTTTAAAAGTAAAAGATAGTTCTGTTTGACAAATGCATTTGCTGAATTTTCACCAATCGTCATGAAAGACAAGAAGTTTTCGCTTATGAAGAAATAATATTTGTTTGCACCAATACTGTCATAACGAAGATATACTTTCTGAATTTCCGTGATATCAATAGATTTAATTAAGGTTCCTGATGGAAGTTATACTAGAAAGCCTGTAAACAGTATTCGCAAGGATCTGCATTCAATGTCAATACCACAAATTTCCAACCACATTCCAATTCATTACTACCATTTTGATTAATAATTATTAATTCTTTGTTTAATCAAATTGTGCCTAATCCCAGATTAATACTAATTTTTTACATTTAAAAATGTTAGTAGAACATAAGTATAGTTACACATAAATCTCACGCTAAGTTGACACACAAATATAGTAGAAATTCCCATTTCCAACTTCGTACATTTAAAGACAAATGAACAAACCAATAATGAATAATGGCAGAGAGTAAATAAATGTTAGGGTCCGCGTGAAAATACAATCCGTCTCGCTTAATAAGAAACGAAAATCACTCTGATACAATAAGCTGTAACCCAACACTTGTTCACCGTTTTTTTTTAACCGGGACACAAACTTAATTTTCCGGGTCGTGAACTGAGCCGAACGGACAAGGAGGAAGATTTCATCAGATTATGCGGTTAAAAAATATTAATAGAAATCTGTCACGAGGGAATTTTAACATTTGCGAGAGATTATTCTAAAAACATAGCGCACTAAAAAATACGCGTATCGATCGCATAGAAAAGCACATGTAAGAAGAAATCGTTCATGTAAATGTTCCCGGGGGACATCAAAAATGTAGACTGATATATAGGAAGCCGATGCTACGGACTCGGGAATGCATTGGCATACATTATTGGTCAAAAGACTCAGCGAGCGTATTCCAATTGTGAATTATGATTTTCAACCCGAAACGAATCATATTTTCTTTGGATTTTCAAAGGATTTCCCGTCTTTATCTGACGCGTTCGTTCAAATCCCTTTTATCTCAACTTAACACATTGCAGTAGCCATATACGTTTAGAAATTATTCCGGTCCTCTCTTTTCTACTTATTCAAGCTTTGAACGTAAAAATTATTATTGATACGTAACACTTTGAGGGTGCCAAATGGAAATGTTATATTCATAAGGACGAAGGAAAAACTAGCGTAGCGACGGAAACTATTGTGTTCTTTGATATTCAACCTAGTGTTCGCCCTTCGTGTACCAAATTATTACTGTTATTGTGGCTGGCAAATCTTAGAACAGCATAAAACCGGCGGTCACATAAAATGGAATTTCTGCAATTGCCTCAAGTAAGTTGGCAAAATCATCGTTCTAATTGATTTTTCTTTTATGTTCTAGTCTGCACTTAACTATACTTTTAAGAGACAGTAAATAGGGGTTTAGATAGTACGGGAACTTTCTAACGGAACATTGGGAAATAATATGGGAAAATGCATTATATCGAAATAAAAAAGCACCGATGAATAAATAATTAACATCTCATGCCGGTGACACAAAAAATTGATTGAGGAAATCGGAAATTTTGAGCTCCTGTGTTTTGGTGTATGAACTAATTTATATCTTTTTGTGTTTATATTCAAAATTTAATGACAGTTAAGGTTGACAGGTAGTACTGATGAAAAGACACGACATGTTTCGGAACGCACCTCGTTCCATTATCAAGTGTTACATAAAATTATCGTTACATAAGTAATTGCTAAAAAAACGCATTAAAATTAGACCTAACTCAATCATAAGAAATCCTTTTTTTTCTTATGATTGAGTTATATGGAACGCCGTTTTACTTTTTATTACGAAAGTTTACAATGTAACATTATAAACAACAGTTAATTTTATTTCCCGATTTATTATGTTTGTTGTTTTTATGTGAAACATTAAATATGTTTGTTTAAAAAACTTCACTTAATTGAAATGATGTATGAATTATATAGCAATGTGTATAACGAAAGTTTAACAATACAAATCAACAAACGAATACATAAACGAACAGTAATATAACTAACTAGAACTAATTCAACAAACATAAAAATTTATTCATATTAAATGTGGGATTAAAATTATGAACAAAAGTAGTATAGTAAGGCCGATCCTGGCTCACTTTACATTGAAAAGTGCCATATGATTGAAGTGTTAGCGTTTCAAGGTCAAAGTGGTGTTGAAGGTCAAAGTGGTATTGCGTAAGTGGGTGGGTGGGTTTCAAGGTCGAGTGTTGAGAAGAAATGGGGTGTATTGTTTGTGTTTTTCGGAGGGGGGGTGATGGGTGAAGGCCATTGGATTTCAAGGTCGAGTGTTGAGAAGAAAGGGGTGTATTGTTTGTGTTTTTCGGAGGGGGGGTGATGGGTGAAGGCCATTGGATTTCAAGGTCGAGTTGTGAGAACAAAGGGGTGTATTGTTTGTGTGGAGGGGGGGTGGCGGCGGCTCAAGGCCATTGGATTTCAAGGTCGATCGCTGAGAACAAAGGGAGGTTGTGTATGTTGTTTGTGTGTGATCAAATTGTTTGTGTTTTTCTGGGGTGCCGCCTCAAGGTCACTTGCGGGATTATTCGATTCACGGAAGTGATCGTGTACAAGGTCAAACGTGTTGCAATTTAAATATAGATATTAGAAGATGTTAGCTTGAAATGTGGTTAGTGTTAAGGGGGAATATGCGGCGAACGGCTGTTGAATGCCTTCATCAAACCTTATTGGTATTGCTATCTGATGCTGAGCATGAGGCGGTCTATGGACCTGAGACTTTTAGGGAACAGTGTCAAAACATTGTCCAAACGTATGAGTTGGGGATTGAACTATGTAGACTCTTTTTAAATTACAAAATATGCGTTGATTGCCTTATAAACGGACTGAACGAGACTCAGTTGGGTGAATACATAATATGGTGATGAAGAAAGTTACATTTGACGATAGTAACAATCGCGTGTATGTACTGATCGCGTGGTCCTTTGCATATAGTGCGGCACGAAAAGGGCCTTGGGAAACTATGGCCTTGGATAGATTTCGCTTTAGTACAAAAATAGAGCAATTTTGTAAGATATTGTCTCCCGTCTTAGCAGAAAATCATCGTTTATCAGTTTATCTGACTAGATTTCAAGGTCACCAGAACTCAATGTAATGGTATATCGCACTAGATTTCAAGGTCACCAGACAGTAATGTTTATCGCATTAAATTTCAAGGTCAACAGACAGCAATATAATGGTGGTAGAAACGGTGAATGGAATCAGTCGAATAGTGTTCGCTAATCAGTTAAAATGGATCTTAATCAACTCAACAGTAGCACCTACTGCAAACCTTTCAAGAACGTCAAGGATATGAAGGTCGGTGAAAAGTATAAAGTGATTGGTATCGACCTAATCAATACCAAATATGGCGACCGAATACTGATCGATACTGAGAACTTTAAGTGCATCCTTCCTTTGCGCTTTTATGACTACTTCAAGAGCGACAACCGTCTGCAGATCTTCAAGGACACCTTGTCCAGGGAAGAAGTGTTTATAACAAGCGCCGGAACGGCGGGGAAGACTACTAATTTAACATTTATGTAAAAAAGTTGTAAATGAGATAGAGAGAAATAATAAAATGTTGTTGATGAGAGAGAGAAATTGTGTCTCTTATTTAAATGCATATCCACCCTTAGAAACACTTTAGTTGTTCTGTGATCGTGGGGTCGAGATCATCTCAACGAAAAAAAGCTCCAAAATGGATACAATCAGTTGTACTAATAATTATTTCTCGTGCTCGTGCTGGTGCTGTAATAACAACAAAGACACTAGTGATGATTCTATCACCCAGTTTGCTGAAAATGTGCATAGTAAAGCTGCCGACGAACGTTTAATCGATTGCTCATCATATGACCTCTACGATGGTGAAAGCAATTCGAAGAAATATATTGAAATTGGCTACAGTACGCATCTTAATTTGGCCCCAGTTTTACGAATTGTGCACTCTCCATTAAATGCGATAGTGATGGTGAAAGAAGATTGGGAAATGCTTCTAAAGCACCAAACATATCTCGAGATGAAGTTCTTTAGATCTCAAGAGCTCGAAAATTGGATCGACTGGTCCAATGTTAAGGAAGAAGATATTGAGCACGACAAAAGTTCTGAATCGCTTAACGCAAATTTTACTATTCATTATAACAGGAAATTTGTGCGGGATCCCACGACGACTGAGAAAATATTAGAGAGCGTAACAATACAACGTGATAAGCTGCATTATTGCACGATGAGTAAGTACGTCGTTGAAGAATTGTTTAATCTAAAAGATATAATCAACTATCGTTTGGATTTACTGGAATCGTACGCTCTGTCCTGTTTCTATCAGGATGTTATCGAACAGGTGATTAACTACCGTCATTTTCGTAAAATGGAGTTTGGTAACGAGGACGAGGGCGACGATGACAACATCTATCGCGATATTGAAGACGTATTAAACTATAAGTTTAACGTCAATTCTCATAATACAGTTTGCATGATGGAATTATTATACTATCGACCTACTTATTTTATGTATCACATATGTCAATAAACGTACTTTATTTGAGCATTTTTGTTTTATTTGATGGATGGATTTCCTATAAATATGGCAACTTATTGCCGCAATTCAACAATGTTGAATCGGAAGCGGAAGTGTACGGATGGGAGTGGCTTGGTTAATAATCTCATAAACAAACTTCCAGTGGAACTACATATTCCTGGCTATCAGTATTGCGGACCTGGTACTAAATTAGATAAAAGGCTAAAGCGAGGCGATCCCGGCATAAATCCCCTAGACGCTCAGTGTAAAGAGCACGACATTGGCTATAGAGATAACCAAGACTTGGAAGGTCGACATCAAGCAGATCGCCTTTTAGAGCGGAAAGCTTGGGAACGATTAAAAGCTCCCGACGCGAAGTTAGGAGAACGAGCAGCCGCTCTTACGGTAGGTACCATTATGAAGGTGAAAAGAAAGTTGGGGATGGGCGTTAAGGGGAAGAAGAAGAAGAGCAGTAGTTTATTGAATTTGCGTAGGACAATAGCCAGGAAAATGAGGAAAAGCGGCAACACCGCTGACATAATAAAGTCGGCTGTTACGGCTGCAAATATGACCGTAAAAAGTTTAGGTGGTAAGAAAAATGTAAGTGTGCCTAGAATAATTCCCATACCAAAACAGGGTGGGGTTTTACCATTCCTGATACCTTTATTCGCCGGTCTATCGGCAGTTGGAGCTTTAGCCGGCGGAGCGGCGGGGGTTGCCAAAGCAGTTAATGCATCTCGTGACGCTCGTAAAATGCTAGATGAAACCTCGCGCCATAATCGCACGATGGAATCGCTCGCTATAGGAAATAAAAGTGGCGGTGTGCTGTTTCTGAAACCTTACAAATCGGGAGGCAGTTTGGCGCTGCATTTAAAAAAAAAAAAAACTTCAAAAAATTGCCAAACCGGCCGTTGACTGATGTAGATCTACGTAAGCATGCAAAGGGGTGTGTACCATATTTTAGGGACGTGTTTATGCGAGATAATATGCCTACGGCCCCATGGGAAAATGAAGCTGGCGTTATTAATTTAGATAGTCAAAGGGGGCGTGGCACTCATTGGGTCTCGTATAAGAAACGTGGTGGATGCGTTTGGTACTATGATAGCTTCGGTAATATTCCACCACCGCGTGAAATAGTCGAGTATTTCCGCGACTGTAAAATCTATTATAATTACGGGCAAGAGCAACAATTCGGTACGACGAATTGCGGTCATCTGTGTTTAAAATTTTTGTATAAATAACTCGAATGTCGTTGGTGAGCGCGTAGTAGTCATGTCGACGACGTTCAGTATAGAGGGCGTTGGAAATACGGCGAGTCACGATTTCTATCCACCTATTGAACTTCATCCGGGAAAAATGTACGTCATCGGGATGGTGGGGTTTTACGGCTGTAACAGCATAAGAAACATTCACGCGGGAAACGATAAGTTTTACTATAAAACTGAGTCAAATAGCGTATACTCCAAGGTGATAACAATTCCGCACGGTGCGTACGAGTTGGAAGAGATAAGCGAGTATATAAAAGCTCACATTCCTACAAGTCGCTTTAGTCTACGTGCAAATAACAATACGCTCAAGTGTGAACTTAGCTGCGAATTTGATATAGATTTCACTCAAAGAGACTGCATAGGACGCATGCTCGGTTTCGAATCGAAGATATTGGATGCGAATGTTCTACATACCTCTGCTTTAGATATACAAATCATTAAGCATACCAACATTCACATAGAGTGTAATCTCATTACGGGATCCTATCGAAACGGAAATCGCGCTAAAGTCCTTTACGAAATAGACGTTTCCGTTCCACCAGGTTATCGCTTAGATAAAATTCCCAGTAATACTCAATATTTGGAAGTAAATACCAGTAGAATTAGTAATATAACTATAAAATTGACAAATCAAAAGGGCGAATTGATCGATTTCGGGGAAAGTGAACCGTTTACGGTGCGATTAGAGTTAAAAGAATATGGGGTTACGTATTAATCAAGGTCCGCTGCCATCCTTCCTGAACACTATAAATAAACGAGATAAGCGGAAATCGAGTTATTCTCAATCGGGACAGGGTCCGGGCACATTAACGCCAGCAGAAAAATATTTCTTGGAATCCATTGGTCTGAAAGTACAACATGGCGGCGGCAGCAGACTCGTTAAACGTCTTTCAAAGCGTACACTTTGACGAGACGATTGTTAAGTCCGATATTCATACTTATCTTCCATATGGAGGATCTTCGGATTACGGTCTTTCCAGTGAAATACGAATATTAATTCAAAATCAAGAGCTGATAACCGCCACATACGATAGCTTCTTGTACTTGGAAGGAAAAATCGAATGGAGTCAGCCGCAAGAAGAGGGTGCCGCTGCAAAAACATGCAACCTTACAAACAATTTCGCGCCATTCCTTTTCGAAGAAATTCGCTACGAGTTGGGAGGTCAGAAAGTGGATGTATGCAGGAATCCTGGTATTACATCCTCACTGAAGGGATACGTATCATATACGTCTACTGAAAGCAAAGGTCTTAAACATTTGGGATGGTCACCCATCGATGATGGATCTCTTCAAGTAGACTACGACAAGAGCAACAAGGAGAAGCATTTCGCTGTTTGTATTCCGCTAAAGCACATATTCGGGAGCATGGAGGACTATCGGCAGGTCATCGTAAACATGCGGCAAGAATTAGTATTAATTCGTGCTAGAAGCGATGCCAATTGCTACATCGGCACCGCCGCCGATGCAACAATAACATTAACAAAAATCCAATGGAAGGTGGCCCACGTGACCCTTAGCGATAGTGCCAAAATTGGTCTATACGAACGAATCAATAAAGATGCAAAAATTACAATGCCATTCCGTCAATGGGAACTGTACGAATTGCCCGCTTTAAAACAGGCACAGTCGGATATATGGCCAATCAAGACTTCAACTCAACTAGAGAAACCGCGATGGGTAATTGTAGCATTTCAACGAAGCGGAAAAAAGTTTTCGCGCGAAGCAAGAGCGGCCAATTTCGATAACATCAATATTCGAAATTTAAAACTTCATCTCAACTCAGAAAGTTATCCGTACGAAGCGATGCATTTAGATTTTAATGTCAATAAATACATCATGGCATATCAAAACTATGTAAACTTTCGACGTGATTATTACTCGAAAGATGAGCAAGACGCTCTGTTTGACTATTTGTATTTTAAAAGTTGTCCGATCTTTGTGCTGGACTGTTCGAGACAAAACGAGTCTCTGAAGCATTCAACGGTAGATGTTAAGCTGGAAATGGAGTCGTTGGAGGCCTTCGAGGCGGGAACGGTTGCTTATTGTCTGATCCTGCACGATGCGCTAGTTCAATACAATCCTCTGACCGGGGAAGTGAAGAAACTATAATTTGTACTTTTTCTATAAATAAAATGTAATGATAAAAATGTTCTTAGTCTTATTTCAACCGCCAAAAATGAAGGTGGTGATGCAAAAGCAAAAGCTGCCCATTCAAAATCTAGATACGACGCCAAATGTGGAGTATAAAAAAACACACGGCGAGTTACTTCCAAACAGTGTGAGATGCTTAATATGCGGACCGTCTAATTGCGGTAAAACGAATACGATGCTCAGTCTGTTAACTGAACCCAATGGTCTACGCTTCAAACACGTGTACGTCTATTCCAAATCGCTGAATCAGGACAAATATAGGCTTTTGGGTAAAATTCTTCAGCCGATGAAGGATATTGGCTACTTTACGTTTAGCGAAAACGCTGATATTATGGAACCCAATGCGGCCAAACCTAATTCAGTTTTTATCTTTGACGATATCGCATGTGAAAAACAGGATAACATTAGAGCGTACTTTTCAATGGGCAGGCATAACGTCATCGATTGTTTCTACTTGGGTCAGACGTATTCTAAAATTCCTAAACAATTGATTAGGGACAATGCCAACTTAATTGTTCTATTTGAACAGGACGACTTGAACTTGCGGCACATTTATGAAGATCACGTTGCTCCCATAATAACGATGCCGTTGTTCCGAGAGATGTGCTCGGAAAGTTGGCGAAATCCGTATGGATTTATGGTGATAAATAAGGATGCGGATGTGCAAAACGGCCGTTTCAGGAAAGGTTTCGATCACTATATAATACCGTGAAAACGTGTTTGTTATTCAGTTAGAAATAAACAGCTATCAAGTCAACAGCTTTCAAAATAAACAGCTTTCAAAATAAACAGCTTTCAAATAAGAGCTCATTGAAAAACAGGCTGTTCCCCCTGTTTGTTTACCTGTTCCCTTGATCGCATCATCATCATCATCATCATGGATACTAAAGAGATGGCCTTGAAACGACGAATAGTTCAAGCGCGTAAAGCGATACAGCAAAAGTACAATCGTCTCAAAGCGGATCGTTTTATTAAAGAAGTGGAGTTTGTACGAACGTATAAACCGTTAATTCAACCGCTATCCCAGATCGTAAAGAAAATCGAACCGCCGCCGTCATCATTGGTTATTGATACGAAAAAGGAGGAGCCAGAGGACGAAGTATTTACATCGCCCCCTAAAAAACGCCAATCTCCTGCAAAAAGAAAGTCACCACTACAACGTACGACTCCTGCGATACCTTATTACATGCGATCGAGACGAAGACCCTCTTCCCTTACCGAGATCAGTCCGCTGGCTAGACTGCCCTACTTTCAAAAATATCCGCCAACCGATATGAGTCCGATGGTTAGTCCTTTTCACCCGACGGCTACTCCATCATTGAGACAGCCGCCGTCATTTCTACAGAGTACAGTGATAGGAGAGCATCAACCGGAGGAGGAAGAAGAAGAATCCTCTGTCGCATCATCATCTGCTTCATTACTCGATATGCAAGGTTCGCAAGCCTTTTTGGAACAATACAACCACCTACCGCGGATATACGTCGAGCGCATGATAAGGGATACGAGTAATGCAATTGACACGACTTTTGGAATTCATTATGATGTCGAAACGGATAAGTGGACGATGGGCAGGACGCCGGTGACGATAAGTGACGAAGATTTGGTCGTTAACGGGATCCGGTACAAAGGTACTGCGGGCCTATACGAACTGATCATTATGAATGAACCGAATGAATCGCTAGTATCCAATCAGGATAGAAATAACTATAAGCAGATAATAATAGCAACTCATGTCGCACGGCGCAATTACGATCCCACCGATCAGATTCGAGGCAATAAGAGCAAAAAGTATAAGCTCATAATAAAGCCTCTACTAAAGGAGGAGGAGGAAGAGACGAAGAGGGGGCGTGCGAAATCCGGAAGCGGTATATTCAAGGAACTCGGCCGACCGACCGAATACAAATACTGGAATAGCGTGCATGAACTGATTAGGGATTTAGAGGTTTTATGGGGTGAAAAAATGGCTGGTAACACTGGAGTACAAAATGATATAATATCAATCGTGGAAGAGCTGTACGAGGAAGGTTACATAAAAAAGCCCACGCGACCGTTTTTACGTCAACTAGTATAAATACCCCCTTTTCCGTCTTCTTGCCCACATTCGCCATGGATAAATTCGGACGTTCTCATACCCACGCTCAATTTGGGAAACTGCTAAAGACAAAATTTTCCATTACCGACGATACTATAAATGTGGAAAATAAGAGACTAAGTAATGTTGTGGATCCTATTGAACGTCACGATGCCCTAACGTTGCAACACTACCTATCAACAAGACTAAATCTCAACGGAAACCGGTTAATGAACCTCGCCGATCCAGTAGACGACCGCGATGCCATAAATAAAGGGTACCTCACACAATACATGCAGATTGCGAAAGCGCCCGTAGACAGTCTTCGCAATTACGTAGCGGTACTAGAGGAAGAGTTGAAAGCGGTCAAAGAAACTTTACATAAACTAATAGAGGATGCAGCAGGTGGTGAACGAGTTACACAAAGCGGCGCGCAAAAACTTCCCTCGTAGACGTACCATCATTAAAGGCTTCGATGATCTTTGGCAAGCAGATCTAGCCGAATTTATACCTTACGCAAAAGAGAATAAAGGCTACAAATACATATTAGTAGTTATCGATTGTTTTTCAAAATATCTATGGACGCGAGGGTTGAAGACTAAAACGGGTGAGGAGGTGACAAAAGCCGTACAGGCTATTTTCAAATCTACGAGACGCAGACCGAAAAATCTACAGACCGATGCAGGGAAGGAATTCTATAACAAATCATTCGCCAAATTAATGATGCAAGAACGCATTAATCACTATTCCACGTACAGTACGAAAAAGGCCGCACTGGCCGAGAGGGTTATAAGAAGTATAAAAAACCCCTTGTACCGGCAGTTTAGTTTACGCGGAAAATATGTATGGATAGATGCAATCGAATCGATCACGAGCGAGTACAATAATCGTAAACATCGAACAACGGGGATGAAACCGATCGAAGTGAAGGCCGATACAAAGCTGGACGCCTACAACCACATCAAGCTCTTCAACAATAAGAAATGCCGTTTTAATGTCGGCGATGTAGTTCGAATTAGCAAATTTAAATCCATATTTGCGAAGGGCTACACCCCCAATTGGTCCAGTGAGCTGTTCAAAATTATAAAAGTACAAATAACAAATCCGGTCACGTATTTGTTGGAAGACATGAAGGCTAAACCGATTTTAGGTGGATTTTACGAACATGAGTTGCAGAAGGCCAAGTATTCGGACGTATACTTGGTTGAAAAAGTCCTGCGTCGCAAGAAAGACAAAGTGTACGTGAAATGGTTGGGTCTGGACGAGAAATCGTGGATTGATAAAAATAATGTTGTTCTATAAGGTTATGATGTGTCGATTTGAATAAATAAATAACTAAAAACTTAAATATTTACTTTTTATTATTGTAATTCACCATACAACATATTTCCTAGTGTCTCTTTTTCTCGATGTCATCTATTCCACCACCCTCCTTTTTTATCGAGATATTTTTCAATTGTTGTTAGAAGTGATTATTGAAATATGTCGAACAATATCAGATTCCATTTTCCATCATATCTACCCATAACACGGTGCTGCGACAAATTCCAAGAGTGGCAGGAAATTCGTTATCGTATCTTACATAGATAATCGTTTGTCCCAGACACTCACACCCCACACTTCTTGTTAGGGGTTATGCAAAATTGACGAAATGCGATATACAGATACTACGTCAATGATGCACAGAAGTCATGAGATCTCACGGATTAAAGCTCATTTAAAGTTCATCTTCCCAGTACATTAATGAATATTATCATTGTTAAACTGAGGTGAATGGTCTCTGCCGTCTTCTGGGAATCTTCAATGTTGCAGGTGTTTCACGGGTATCATTTGGGACAATGGTTGATATGTGTGTGTGAGAACGTCCTTGATGTTATTTTAGAATCACTCTTTTGCTAACTCCAACAAAAACCTCCACATATATACCTAGGGGTAGACATTTTGCGGCACAAGTGTTAATCTGCACGTTATCGTCATGTCTTCAACCAAACGCGCCAAGTTGACTTTAAAAAAAAGTGCAACGAGTAAGAAGCCTTACATAAATGCCTGTGGGGGTGGTGGACGCTCAATCTTAAAGACCGCCTTAGAAAAACCTACAAAGTTATCCGATGGTGATGTGATCAACCTCCTCACGGAAGATAAAGAAGGACATCCGGAAAGGTAAGTTGTAAACTTGTATAATAATTTAGTTCTCGCTCTCCACCATCCATATAGATACTAATGTTGTATTATTTTATTTTTTATAGAACAATAGCTACCACCACCACCACCACCACAAATGAACTGGAAGATTTTTTCTAAAAGAATATGAGGGAAATTTCAATCATGTTTACGCTCCTCCAATTACAACGATTCCTCCATCTCACATGAGACCACCGGTGATAGATCCCAGACATGGCCAGCAACAACAACACCAACAACAGTTAAGGTACAAATTATTGTTCACGAAAAAATAAAATTTCTAATACATATATGTTTTACAGCCCGTATCCATCAGTACAAATATTGGAGCATATTATAATTCCTGCGCCGCTACCCCAGGCAAATACTCAAACGCAGCCGTCAGAAATGGTAGCTTTACATCCACAATCCGCGATGGGTGACATGCATCAATTTCCGTAAGTTTACTCATTACTGTACCTCCGTTTATGTGGAAATACTTATTTTATTGTTACGTTACAGAAATAATCCAGCTCAACAACAACCAAATTTACCACTACAGCTACCTGTAAATAACGGCGGCAACAATCACTTTCAGTAAGTTACTTTTATTCTACATATAATCTATTTTTAATATTGTTTCTCTTATTGTTACAGTGCCCCGTTGCCTAGGGGGGAAAAAGATATGCAATTACTAAGAGAATTTTATGAACACGTCTCGCCGCCGTCTTCAGCAGCCATCGACCGAGAAGAGGCGCCACCACCACCACCGCCGCCGCCATCTCATGAATCGCCCAGATGGCACGAGCCGTCCACACCCCAAGAGCTGGCGATGTTATCAATGGGGTGTCTGGAGAAGATGCTGACAATTTTCCAGGCCAGACAAAGAAATTCCCAACTCCAGACGGAGCGTTTAGAACGGGAATTGGCTGCACCACGGCTTCAAGATGAAAACCTGCATCGAGACATGAAGTTTATTATAAATTACATGCAATTTTTAAAGAATAGCTAATTTTTCTTTTTAAATTTAATTTCACATTTGTAATAGTAGGTACTTCGGTAGGTACTTACGAGTAATAAGTAAAACATTAATGTAATGTAGCTAATTTTACGTAGAAAATACATGGATTATTTAATGCGATTGTTGATATTAATTAATTTAGTTTACCTGCCACAAACATTCACGGTATAACTTTAAATGCAATATTTACGTACCTACCTGAGTTCGAGTGAGAATACTAATCGAATTAATCATTATCACAAAGAAACACCAAAATTATTTTCCACAACACATCGCGAATCGGCGAATATCACTGTGCAATGAAATGAGTGCATACGCAAGTCGACATAATGCGAGCTGATAATTTTCTATTTTTACCAAATGCGCGATACCAAGCAGAACGTCTATTCACCGTAGGTACAGTGTACTCGTTTTAAAAATTGAGCGTTCATTAAACACCAATCCCCAAACTTTTTTAACCCTCTCGCTCGCAATTCCTACACAAGAAATAAGCGTGTTTGATCATACCAGCACCCTTTATACATTCTTTTAATTCGCAAACTTTACATACAAATTGTCTTAATTGGTACACAAGAAATAACCATCGTCGTCGTATTTATGCCATTGCCTCACACACAAAGAAATAATCCTTGCCTTAACTGCCACTGTATGAATCATTACAAACGTCCAAGCATCACTACAAAATCAGTTTTTTCATACGGCGCTGAGCCGCTGACAACCCAGCATTTCAACATCCCACTTTAATTTTCTAATTTTCAGTAACAGTTCGTCAATTCTTTTTTCCCCATTGCATTGCAAAGATGATGTCGGTGCTGCTGCTGTGGATGATGATGATGGACAATGGCTCTTGACATCTCGCCTATTATTGAATTATTCAGAGCAAAGACCCATTACAACAAACACTTATATATTAGTTTAAACCACACCCATTCTTAAG